GGCACAGAATCATGTTTTAGCAGTGGAACTATAAGAGGTTGGAAAGATCTAAAACAAAATTCCAATGTTTTGCTGCTATGCCTATACTGAAGATGGAGCTTGGTGCCAGTGATGAACTACTCCCTTGTATCACCTAATTCTACATACCTTTGTTTAAGTACAGCAACTGAATGATCAAATCACTGAAATAATATATTCTGTTTCTCAAGTTTCAGTCAAACACAGACAGAAATATCCACAGTATAACATGTCTTTCACACGATACATATTGGCCCATCCTTCAACTTTGAAAACAACTTTGTGAGCTGTTTTGTGGCCATTTACATTTAAATGGTCACAAAATTATATTTGAATAGTCACAAAATTCCTGACGGAACATCTCCAGTGTGGTGTAGTGGTTAAGAGCGGTAGTCACGTAATCTGGGTAACCGGGTTCGCGTCTCCGCTCCTCCACATGCAGCTGCTGGGTGACCTTGGGCCAGTCACACTTCTTTGAAGTCTCTCAGCCCCACTCACCTCACAGAGTGTTTGTTGTGGGGGAGGAAGGGAAAGGAGAATGTTAGCTGCTTTGAGACTCCTGAAGGGGAGTGAAAGGCGGGATATCAAATCCAAACTCCTCCTCTTCTTCTTCTTCTCCATCCCCATCGCTCAGCCTGGACGCTGAGGTTCTCCAAGGGTCTTCTGGAGGTTCCCTCACTGTGAGAAGTGAAGTTACAGGGAACCAGGCAGAGGGCTTTCTCGGTAGTGGTGCCTTCCCTGTGGAATGCCCTCCAATCAGATGTCAAGGAGGAAAAAACTACACAACTTTTAGAAGACATCTGAAGGCAGCCCTGTATCGGGATGTTTTAAATGTCTGACATTTTACTATGTTTTTATATGTGCTGCAAGCCGCTGAGAGTGGCTGGAGAAACCCAGCCAGATGGGTGGGGTATAAATAATAATAATAATAATAATAATAATAATAATAATAATAATGGCAGCATTTAAAAGAATACTATAACCAAGAGCAAGGTGGTCTATTGCATGGTATTTCCATCTGCTAAAAATGTGAATGAATTATTGTAAGATAGGGTATGGTTTTTGTAAGATATGGCAAAAACCTAGGGCTAGTGATAGCATTTGCAAATGGAAACTCACTTAGAACTGAGAATGCACACTCTTCAACTCCTCTGCTCCACTGCCTGAGCAGCTTCCCCCTCCTGGCATTAAAACATAGTTTCACATTACATATGAACCAATGCAGTCCAGGTTCTTCATAGCTTTGGATGGATCCAGAGATAAGTTCTGCTAGCGAGAAGTCTTTTCTGCTGATTGAAGAGCTGATTCCAACCTGTGTGATTCCAACCTGGTGCTGTGTGAACAGCAACTCCTCCTAATTCAGGAAAGTGATTTCATTCATGTAAGCTCTTCTACGAAATTTTGCTGTCACCCACCCCCAATTTTTATATGTGTTAGCCTGTATCTTCCTTAATCACCATGTTCACTGTAACACAACTCCAAAACACTGTGGTACTGCACTGCTAATGGTTTGCTGTTAGTAACTGCATGAGAGTTCACAAAGTTCCTGTGGTTTGCTTCCCTTGAACCATGAAGAATAACCCAAGAACAAACCTTGGTTACAGCTCATGGTTTATCTGGACAAACCATGAACCAGGTTCAGCCAAACCATAGCTTGATGGTAGGTAGCACAGCTAAAGCAGAACCAGGGTAGGATTGCTGGATCCATGATCTTTGCACTGGATGCTTGCAAGTTTGCTTGTTCATGATAAGCTATAGTTTGAGCCATTTTATTCTCATTAGCCATTCTTCCAAATGAAATAATGACCCCGTATAATCCCTTAAAAGCTTTATCCACACACGGAGACTGTGAAAATCTGTATTACTTGATTAAAAATTAAAATTATTGTTGTAGTTTAATGTTGAGTAACTAGTCAATGAATCTTTTAAATATGCCTATTACATTTAAGCACACTACCCAATACTCTTCTACTGAAAGCAACATTTTAGTAACAGTGAAGCAGAGCAACTGGCTCTAGTAATATTCAGCTAACTAAGGGTCTGTGCTTTGAGGAAAGGAGAAGACTGTCCCATTTCAGTTATAATTTGTGTTTTTTTAGAAAATATAACTGTGACAAAAGCGTACATTTTGAAATGCTTCCCCCCTGCTTAAAAAAAAAAGCTTAATAAAATATTTTTTTAAATCCTCCTCTTTGCTTACTGAGAGAATATTTTGGAATTCAGCAAAATCTAATCAAATTTTACATTTGCTTTTTATTTTCAGGCATTTAATATGATAGTCTATCCCAAGGCAAAATTATGCAATTTTTAGGTTAATATTTTGGTTCTTAAATACTGGAAAAACTTGAAATAATAATAATAATAACAATTATTATTATTATTATTATTATTATTATTATTATTATTATTATTATATTGGTAAAAGCATGTTTACTGGGAAGCAAGGTCCTCCGATATATTTATTACATTTTATATCCTGTCTTTCTTCCATTATGGAACTCAAGGCAGCACACATGAAATTCCCAACCAGGAACTGACCCAGACTTGCTCCCATGTAAGTTATCACAGAACTGCAGCCTAATTCATACATACAACTATATTATTTACTATCATGCATCAACATTTATTTATGTACACCTCTGCATATACTCCTTTTATGTTTGTCTGGGAAATACTTGTATAGAAAGACTGTGGAAACAGAACCAAAACAGCACCATTGCCTATGCAATACTTGTTTGCATAGAAGCATTACCAATCTACTCAATATAAGATGAAGCATTAAATCTGTGTAAGACTCAACACTTGCAGGTGTAAACATAAAGCATTGAAACCAATCTAATAACATAAACTAACACATAATCAATTTATTGCAAGTATTGTTCAAACCTGAACTTGAAAGCACACGAAAGGTCCTTCCGATGCTTTCTGCCTCATAGCAAATGTGATAATTTGGAATTCACAAAACAAAATATGAGAAGAAAAAAATGCTGCATGTTGAAATATGATTTTTCTGTCTATTTCTATTGTGTATATTAGGTGATGTATGGATGTTATTTGTCAAATAACCAAGCTGGAAGATTTTCTGTATGCACCCCCAATGTTTCTACATTTGTGATGTAAAATGCTTAGTTACATAAGGATGATTTTTGCATATTGGCGCTAAGGACAAAAGGAAAGCAATGTGACCATTCCATTACCAAACCTAGCTAAAACCAAAACACTTTGAAATACACAATTCATCCTAATCCAAATGGCCCACCATGAACAAGCTAGGGATTCCTGCACACACAGAAGAACTGTCCAGCATGCAGAAATACACCTTGTAATGTACTGCATAGATAATAGTAGTGAATCACACAGATTGGGGGGGGGGGAGAATCCCACTGCTCATCCTCGAAATGAGCAAGATCCCGTCAGTGAAGAAGCAGGCGACTGCAACAGACTAACCTCCACTTGACTCAGTAATGGAAGACTACCCGCTTCCACCATCACATGCAATATTTCTACCTACCTTTCTGCACCAGAAAGCCCTTAACCTAACTTACAGTTGACTGCAACAAATCTTAAAACGTAAAGCCATAAATAACTAATTATGATATTACTATCATTACATTCTCTGCTCAAGAAGGGGCAATAGACACAATCTACCCTGTGAGGAAGAGAGGGAAGCAGTCAGGCAAAGGCAACCCCCAAGGCTTACTCCTCCAGGCAGACTTGCCCCACGGCCATACAACCAATGAACATTGTGGGAAGGACACAAAGACAACTTCAATGCCTGCTCAAGTCAATTTGTTTTTAGTATTTTAAAACTGCAAACTGCCTTGGCAGAAAGGTGCCATATATCCATCCATCCATCCATCCAATGGGTGTGTGGGTGTGGAATCAGCTGTTAAACCACTAAAGAAGGCCCATGAAGAAAATGTGTGCTAGAAATTTTGGCAAGTAGGTATATCTCTGGACAAATGTAAAGATACATGATGCTTGCGACTTCGTAAGAAGATTTACGATTCAGCAATCCTGCAGAACCCAAACAGGTCTGTGTCTTGTCAACACAGATGAGAAACCACCAGAGAACTCCACATGTGCCACCTTGAAGAAAGGAGGCAGACAAATGTAATGTAATAAAATAAATATGGCAACAGGCATGATGATGCTATCCAGAGTGCTGATGCAAATATCCTACATTTTCAGAGGAACATCCATCAGAAACATACTATTCTGAAGCTGTATTTTAAGCCCTCCTCTGCTTTACAATTTTTAAAAATACTGTTTTTGACTAACATATGAACTTGCCCTGCCATGAACAAGTGAATTTTATCTTGCAAAATACTGGACTCCATTTTGTTTTACTATTCTGTATCTGCTGTAGCCCACTGGGAATGAAGCTTAACAACACGAAACCTTTTGGAGGGGCTGTGATGCATTGTTTCATTAAAATCCTTTTCCATTACTATTTTCAGTAAGGTTCTGAGCTGTACAAAGTCCAAACTAAGGATGGGCAAATATGTTAATTTTGATTTCTCAATTTTCTAATCTTAAATTCAGTTTCCACGTTAGTTTGCAATTTTTTAATTTAAGGTGCTCATGGAAATTCACCAGAAATTTATTCTAATACATACATTTTTGTAAAGCAAATTCCCCTAATAAAAGGTGGTTTATGTTATTTTCACTAATATATGCATTTATATGCACGCTTTACCCTAGTATGTGTACACATTTAACTAGAGAACTACATTCAAAAACTCAAAGACATGCATATTTCAAATGATTACTGTTTCAATTCACATACGGTTTGGGAAAGCGTTAAGTAGCTGAAACAAATTTGCACACAGACACAGATATGAGAAGATAGAGTTCATTTGCAAAGATCCTAGCAAACTTAAGTTTTCTACCCTGTCGGGAATGCTAGTTTTGAAAAAGGCTATAAACCAGAAATGCTTCAATAGGATAACTATCACCACAAAAATTGAAGTAGTTCTTGCCTGTAACGTCAGCTGCCATCAAACCTTCTGCTCTGATAACCTTCACCTGGAGAAATCCCACATCCTTCATGTTATGAAACATCCGCACTAGACTCTAGAACACACACAAAAAAACTATGAAGTTAGGAAGAGCTCGCAAAGGGAGGGAAAACAGGCAAATGCGATTCCGTCTTCTATCACATTTTATAATGGTTGTTTGATTATTCTTAAATCTTATTCTTGGAAATCAACTATGTGTTTTCAGTACTGTATAGTTTCCACTCAGTGTAGGAAATATCTATTTCCATTCCCAGTATTTGATTTTAAAAGATCTAAACCACAGCACTCATCTTTCAGCTTCATGTTAGTGCATTATTTATTCTGAATATATCAATATTTAATTGTAATAAATAGTGCACCAAAATGATGCTGAAAGAGAATGCCCCAAGTCACAATGCATCAAAAGATATTTCTGTATACCCTAAGACAGAGGTATATCCAGTTCTAGAGATGCAATTCAGAAGCCCGTGTTTAAATGGCAAATGCCTGCTGGTTTTAGGGGATACCTTAAACAAGACTAGAGCTATCTTTATGCAGCTAGAGAAAGGAAACTATATAATAGCTGATCATTCTTCCAAAAGCAACATCATGTTTTATAACAAACTTTCATTTTTTCCAAAACAAGACTTGTGTGCATATATGTATATTATGTATATATAAAACCCAAGCCAGATATATCAAGAATAAACAGGATTTCTATACATTTTAATGTGCCAGCTTAAAGCAAAGTTGGATTTAATAGAAATAGACATTACTTTTCCTTTCTACTATGTTGCTGCTTAATGGATAATCATTAGTGGTATATTGCTCAAGAAAAAAAGGAATATTTTCTGCTTGAAATGTCAACTATTAAAGTGTTAGACAAACATTTTTACCAATAAGAGTCAGACACAAAGCCCACAATATAAATCCCCTAAGACGCTTATTGCGTACAGAGAAGGTCTGACCTTGGCATACTGAGCCGAAGCGCTGCAGTTATATGGCACATCAATTTTCACATATAAATGCATTTATATCTATTGCTTTCTATGGAAACACATGCCCATTTATTACAAATTTTTGAAAACATTTGTCTATCATCAGAATTGTGTTTAATCATAGGACCAAAGCTAAACAAACACTGTTTATAGGATTCCAAACTGCCTGATTCTGAAAGTTATGTTACAGATAGCATCAGAATACAGATGCTTTGCTGGTAGCGTGTCATCTGTTACAATTCTCAAGAAGGTTTGGCGGGCTTTTTTTGTCAAGCTTGTATCTAAATTCAGATATTTTCCAGTTCTCACATATGTAGAACAAAGGTGGCAGGCATGTGGAAATTACATGTTTGTTCTGTAGGTTTTGAAACTATATTTATCTCACATTTCCTACAAGATAAAAGCAAAAGCACAAATTCAATTTTGCTCCACCTGCACTCACATTACCCACACACGGGGGGCGGGGGGGAGATTGCAGTATTTCACTTGGTACTATTTGTCAGGGCTCTATGGGGTAATTATAGTTTGAACTTAGATTCAGCTAGTCAGCTGATTTGGAGCAATTTACTGCACATTCTGACAATCTGGGCCAGTGACATACCATAGAATATTATTGTAGGATTTTGTGAAAAGCAAATTACTTTAATACATTACTTTAAACATGCAACTTAAAGTAATGATTTATCAGCCGATTGTCAGCCTTCTTATTTATGATTATTATTGAAGGCTTCAAAACCTGGATGGTATCGAAGGCCTGAAATTTCCATAGCAGTGAAATCTTATGATTTGCTGTGAATCCTTTCAGCCCTCAATAGATGGGAAAAGATTGAAATGCTCTGGAGATGAGTCCTCTTTATTTTTTTAATGAAAGGCTGTATAATATATTTTCTGTATGGCTGCAGCAGCTGTCAGGGAGAGCATCTCAGTTCAGCTCTATTATGGGAGAACCAATACCCCATCCTATGGCATTGAGATACACTGAGGGGCCAGTACTGATTGACAGCTTGTCACCATGACGTCTTATTCCATCTTTGTTATGGAGAAAATTAATGTCACACCACCAGCCTTATGACTCGCTGTCATCTTAGAACTGCTCACCTTTTATCAATGCTCTAAATAACATTTCAAGCCCATCGTCTCACGGTGGACAATCCGGTCAAGGGACATTAAATCGGATGACTGTGAAATGTCATAATAAAAATGGAATGCTAACAACTTCTTCACTAAACTAGCTTCTCTGGTTTTTAAACTGTGACAAGGGGGAGCAGGGGTTCAGCACACCCGTTCTGAAAAGGTCATACAATCTCTCTCTTGGTCTGCTACCCATTATGGCCCTCCTTCCCCCCCCACCCCAAAAGGAATTAAGCTTTTCATACAATAGTGATAAAATAATGGTTCAAACAGTAATGCCTGTTTAATTTGCAGGGCTCTGATGTTCAGCTACAAATGGTTAAATGACAGTAATAGAGTCATTTTGCAAGGCTATTTGATCTGATGGCAAGGTCAGCTCATTTACTGGTTTCTGTCTCAAGAATAGACACAAAATACATTTTAAAATGGAAAAGTCTCTTTAGGAAAGCTTAAAAAAATATATAAAATAAAGATGATAAAAGGATTCCTGAATCTTTCTGGCTGCACAGTAATAGTTCACTGTATATTCCCTAAAAGGGTGGCAGCACGAACGCTGGAAATAAAACAGGTGACAACATATAGGAATGGCAAGAGTTCCACAAATACTGTGCAATACTGTGTTCTTTAACCTGTATTTCTGAAGCTATGTATGTATGGGTCATGTTAGGGAAAAGGGTAGTTAAGTTTGTAAGTAAACATAACAATGCCTGAAATAACCATTGTAATAAATTGACATGCCAGGCTTTTTTCTTTTTCTTTTTGACACAATGCAATCCTGTTTTTATACTAACAATACCAGAGACACAATTCTGGGGGTAAAAAAAAATGGCTCAAGGTTCAAAAAAGTTGTGAAATATATGACAATATTTCTGTGGTGTTATAAAATTATCAGTATCGACAGTATCACTTGTTTCACATTAACCTGATAATGGAGAAAAAATATTATTCTCACTACTTGGTATCAAAATGTGTATCACTGCAATTAATCCATCAGAAATGCATTATATCTATTAAGATGTAGTCTGACAGACCAGTCTGTCTTGGTTGATACCAAAATCTGAAATAATACTCGTAATTATTAGTTTTCAGGCATAGTACACTGTATCTTAGCTCTCAGTTGGTTTAGGAAATATAATGTTTAGCCTTGCTAAGTCACCTCTATTAAACTGTGTTTATGATAACACTATTGGTGTTATGATTTGTACAAGCACCAGCAGACAGCTGATTCAGTGGAGATAGGTAGAATAAATTTGCTGAAGCGCACATCCTGCTAATCTGTTTGAAGAATATTGTACAGCATTAGTACTAGCACTTCATGTTATCTGCAGAGCCTGATAAGGTACATCTTTATTAAATTCAGTTATTGAAAGGATGTCAGCAAGGGAATAGGAATATTTTAAAATAAAATAAAAAATTAAACAGCCCTTTGTTAGTCAGAGCTTGGGTTTAATGGCAGAGTGTCTAGAGAAGCCCTCTAAACACCTGGCAGCACTGTACAATAAAAGCTTTGTAATTTTAGGTGAAAATAGCTTTCTTCTTTCTTCTTTGTCTCTAGTAAGTCAGTTTTAGTGAGTTCAGCATTCATAAATGCTGGAGTAAGAGCTCCCCTTGCTGTTGCCTTACCAAAACTACACAGAAGCTGACATGCTATGAGGATGCTGGGAAATATTTGTTTTCAAAATATCTGAGCACAATTTTAAAATTTAGCACAATTATTTTTACGTAGGGTCATACCACCATTCTTACGCATTAACGAAGGAAAAACCTATCATAACACTCTCTAAACAATAGCAAAGTTGGTCCACTTATTTATTGGACTCTTAAAGCTATTTGACTTACTGCTGGGGGGGGGGGAATCAGTGGCATAACTTTTTAATTATGGCACTAAATTTTCATTTGAGAACAGCAACAAAGTAAATTCACGTGGTGACTGGGAGTGAAAAGCACTGAACAAAAACTAATTGGCAAGAACCAACAGAATAATCTTTAGGGCAATGCACTGGGATATTATAAACAGCATTACTTGCAAATATTAACTTGGCTAGTATAAATCTGTAGTACTAAATAAACATTCTGAAAAAGCAACCGCTTGGATGGGTTTTTAGGGGTAACAGGCCATTTCCCCCATTCATCGCGGAATATACAGTTCATGGTTTTTCACATTTGCAATCATACATAGCATGAGCAAGAGAGAGGCACTACATACATATCTCTTTAGTATTTCTTCCTGTTCCTTTAGGTCCTCCAGGGCATTGATTGGGAGGTCAGCGATGCTGACTGCAGCTGAGGCAGTCAAGGTGACCAGCAATACCAGAAAGCCTTCCCCTTCCTCCAGAGGCAACTCCAGCTTATGAGTTTGCTCTTTGCTCAGGGTCGACAGGTCAACCTGGCACCTAGAAACAAATGTTTTGATTAGCATGTGGCTGCCTTCGCAAGAGCAGTGTGGAATGACACACACTCAGCTATGCAAAACACAAACAAAGGCAGCCGTCCCGGGGTTTAGAAGGCAGTATTTCAAAACCCTGTTCTTTTGCTGTTCAACTCATTCCGTCATAAGAAAGATAACACAACTTCTTCTTCTTCTTTATATATAAATACACTAAATTATATAGCTGCTTTTGAAGTGAAAGATGCTCAAAAGGCACAATGCTAGATCTGAAATGTTGCGCCTTTCTTATCCAAATAATAGAATAGTATTGGAGGGGATCCTAAGGGTCATCTAGTCCAACCCCCCCCAATGCAAGAATATGCAGCTGGCCTGTACAGGGATCAAATCTGCAACCTTGGTATCATGAGCCTCACACTCTAACCAACTCAGCTAATGTCTTAAATTCTTTAGGGATGTCAGTGAAATCCATCAAAATACATGTCTAAGTTGTAATGCTCTACTGTATTCTGAGCCAAGCACCATTTCTATCTTGGGTCATATTCCAATGTTGTGCATCTCTATCTATCCTTGTGTTGCAGCATTCCTGGCGCTGGGGCAGGGAGGAAGAAAGCTAAGAAGATGTCAGGGAAAAGGACAGACAGCTTTTTGTGCTCTGGGTGTCAGCACCGGAAGCACAAAAAGCCTCTGAATTTGGAAATCTGAGCAATTTCCTGATAGTTTCATTTTGGCGCGGGTAGCTTGGTTTCCCAAGCCTAGTTCCAAATCAAACCAAAAGAAACTCTCCCATCCACATTCCCAAATAAGGTTTAACTGTTTGAACGGCTTGCAGATACGAATGGTGGAGAAAGTTTATTCAGTTTGCATTTCAGGTGAACCTATTAACTCACACTTTTTGAAACAATATGAGAACTGAAACAGTCGCCTTTGAAATTCTTCAGCAAAGTAACATGTACAAAAATGCATACTGGAGTAGACTGCCCATAAAAAAATGCATCCGTTGGTGACATAACAGACAAAACTATTTTACATAAGGGAAAATTAATTGCAAAAATGTGTACATCAGACAAAATTGCATACAAAGATGTATATATTATGAGAAAATTGCACTAAAAGGCTACTGACTGTTCATAACAATGATATAAAAACACCAACTGATTCGGAACTGAACTTAAGCGTAGGGGGAAAAAGAGAGAGAAACCAAAATGAACAGATTTTCCCATCTCCCTCTGAAAGGCAAGTTGTTGTTTTCAGTTGCAAGCATGAAAACAAGGTAGGCTCTACTTGTTAATCAGAAAAGATGTCTGGACACCAGCAATGGATTAATCACTCTGTTAGTTATTTTACAGAATAGGGTCAAGGGCAATTTGGGACACCTACTTGTAGTATATTTAACTGGGAGTGCCTTAGAACAGCTGGAGAGGAGGAGGCGAATAGAAAACATGCCAGACAAATCAGCACAGGACCATCCTATCCTTAAACAAAGCAGACATAATAGAAACCCTGAATATTAAAAACTAACATAAAAGCCTGGAAGAACAATGAACTTCCATTAACATGAAGCATAGCATAAATGTATAATATAAACACAGTACAGCATAGCCTCCACAACTCAGAATCATAGCCAAGTGCTTATATGCACCGATCCACCAGAATAGCACATCAAATACAGTTCAACAGGAAAAAAAACCCCAAATCTATTAAAATAATGGATTGATGACATTGTCATGTGTCTTTTTTATAGCATATATGGTGAAACTTCGCATCTTTTCTCTACTGGGCTGAAGTCAAACATTATTTTTCATGGGAGATTAACTGGTAAGTGTTCATGTGCAGCATATCATTGAATTAATTTTTTAAAAAAAATTATATTCTTAAATATTCTGAAATTGATGACACTTTGATTGGCTACCCTGCCCGGCATAAAGAGCATGTATATGCAGTGAAACCTGTACATGGACCACTTGGTGTGCTTATGCATTTGTACTTGGACACATACACACAAGCTTCTTTTCACACTAAAATTTCTATAGGAAGGGGTTTGTGAATAAATATCAAGGATCAGTCTTTTACCCATTGCTGAACGTAGGTAGGACACACCTGGGCAAAGAGAGGACGGGTTCACAGAAGTTCCCGACAGCCGTATTTATTTTCTTTGATAGATTCAAAAGCACATTTCAAAACAGCAGAGCACTAAGAGCAAGTGGATTTTTGTCTTTAGCATACATTCTCAGCAACAAATTTCTGCTTGTTTAATTGTCCAGAAAAAACCTGAAAGAATACTTGCATATATTCAGAACATAGAACAGGTCTGTCACCTGCCTTCTATAAATGGTTGCCCCACTCAGCTGGAGTAAATCACTGATCCTAAGCGGAAAACACCTGTAACATCAAACAAATGGGGGGGGGGCGAGCCCTGGTGCAGCAATGCTGAAGGCTCATTTTAAGGTATTGAACAACAATTATTGTGAGATAATTCATATGAAACAGCCACATTTCTTACTCTATTCATGTGTGTGCCAAAAGCCTCTGCTCTGAAAATGGTACTGTAGTAAAACCGTAACAACAGAGTATGTACAGTGCAGGGGGAAATGGGGTGATTAATCTTATTTCAGCATAGGTTCCCACAGCCTTTATGGTAGGTTAAGTCGGACAAAAATGATGCAAGACCTTGTTCATATAGAAATACACTTCTAAACCAGTTAAATTTAATGGTGGTCTGTGATTATTTCACCACACACACACACACCCTGCCACACACAATACGAATGTGTCATACATTTTGCCAAAATGCAGAGAGAGATGCCAGCAATTGAGAATGGACAGTGATGACTCACAGAAAATGAAAATGAATCAGTCACCAATAATCCCTCGACATAAAAATATGAGCAAAAATCAATGTCATTTTGAAGATAAACATGCATGGTTTCCTACTAATAAACAACACTATAAATCCTGCAGTATGGGACTGTAAATAACTCCAAGAGAATAAAATTACACAACATGGGATTTTACTTATCCTGTATGCTCGCTGAAACAACTTGTTCACCGACAGCACTCATTCCTGGAAATATATTGCAGCTGTCAGCAGCCAATTTGGCCAGATTACTCTTACGTGTTAAATTTATAACAATCACAAGGATTTATTAGCTTATCATTGTATAGGTGGCAGAGTCACAATTGTTCAAAAGCACAGGTGACAGAAAGTTAAATAATTACATGGAGATTAAGACAGTCTCCTTCATTTGAAAATTTTACTTCAATATTAGCAGATGAAAATTAGCTGCCTAAAAGACAAAGCAAGTGGAGATGTATGTTTCACAATTGCCATAATGTAGCCACACTTTGTGGCTAGATTCTTTGGGCTGCATAGCTATCCATTATTATGTTTTTGTGGGCACAGTAATTTATGCTGACACTGACTGTACAAAAGGTGAGGGCTGTTCTTCAAGGCAGGAGACACCCCCAATACTTAAAAATAAAATAATAAATAACAAGGGTTTGGAATGAGGCTCCATTTGAGCTATTTACCTGACAAAAAGTCTGTTTTTCTCACAACAAGGTGCCATAAGACTACAGTGGAAACACTGCTGGTACTGTCCTTGACATAAAAGAGAAAAGGAACTGACAGGAGAAGGCGGCCAAGAGACTGGAAAGCAAAAGGTTTAGGATGACCCATCTTTTACCGATGATAGAATAAGTGCTTGAGATACACAAATGGATGAGGGTAGAAACAAAACTGGAAAATAACTGGTGTAACTCTGCTTCAGTGCCATCTATTCCCTAGTGCTAGAGCCAGGAACTAGCAATTGCCACATATCAGCATTTGTGCAAGACAAGCAAAGTCTCTCTAGCCCCACTGGATCCATTATAACAATGGAGCCAAAAAAAAGGGTAAGCAATGGAGAACTGCTAGGATTAGGGAGGTGCCTCTCACACTGTTATGGTTGCATGGGAATGGAGATTCTCTCTGAAGCTCTTAAGCAACTACAGGAATACTAATAATAAAATTGCATGAGATAGTGGATAGGAAAGCAGCCTGGTAAAACACCTGAGAATTCAACCTGCCCAGGAAGAAACACTGTTCGAGTAACAGCAAAAAGCTGTTCTCCAAAGCATAATGAGCAGTCGAGACTGGCCTTATGTACTGCATGAAAATTAAGTTCATGGCAAACAGGCAGCATGTTTCAGACCTTTACCCGTATGTATAAATTATAGAAAATTCATTCTGAAAGATGAAATTCCAGCTCATAGCTTTTAAAATAGAGCTTCGACCATTAAAGCCTACTAACAACACAAGAGTGGATAACAATATTAAGAGGCTGTGCTCAGACTGTTACTTCGAAACAGTAAAAATTTGAAATGAAAAAAACAACAACAGTCATGATGTTTACATTATTCACAGTGTGAATAATTCACAGTGTGTTTAATTCCCAGATTAAACACACAGACACACAGATGCATGCACACACTGATAGAACAGGTCAATAGGGAGTAGCAGAAAACAAGGGATAACCAATTAACAGTTCTCATGTATGAAATACCTTTCAACCATACTTAGTTTTTGGACTAAGAGCCATGCGCTATTCACAACAAACTTTCAATAGTCCATGCCCATGCCCAATGGCTGCATTTGGACGCAATGTAAAACCATTGCTTGTTTAGCTTAGCTATGGTTTGTTTGCTCTGACCTATGACTTGTTTGCAGCTAACAGATCACATAATCTGTAACAATGTTGGCCTGTGAATCTTGCTGTGCATTAACCATGTTTGGTCATTGAGCACTTACTGTTCCCAACCCTAACCCTGCGGGAAGCAGTAATTAGAATTTAATTTGATTCTAACCTGTTTTTAGTAATTTATTGTTTGATTTTACACCAATGTTATAAATTTCATGTTAGCCGCCCTGAGCCCGACTTTGGCAGGGGAGGGTGGGATATAAATAAATGTTTATTTATTATTTATATTTATTTATAAGGACCAGCTATCCAGGCTTAATCCTAGTGT